AAAAAATGTAATAGTATTATTTTAGGAAGTATTAGAATGAAACTATAATAGTTCTAACTTTAAAAAATGGTGATGAGAGAGATCCTATAGTATATCATCCTGTTAATTTTATGTGTATTCCAGCAAAAATATTTAGACAGTGTTATTTTTTCACCCCACCTACAGGGGTGGGGCAGGGGCAGGAAGCAGAAGCTAGAGAAGTAATGGGAGACTGGAGATCCCACCCCAGCAGCAGCTGGAGTGTTGGGTTCTGGGGGAAGTGTCCAGGTTGGAGTCTGCAGGCAGCCAGGTGGGCAACTCTGGCTTAGGAAGTGTGTCGACAGTCATTCACCCAGTATTTAATTTTTTAAATTTAAAAATAACAGATTATGTGACCAGATTATGCAGGCAGTAAGATTTTTCTTGAACTTCCTGTTTTTTGAGGTTAAAGCATTCTTTTGGTCTAGGAACCTACTTGTCTGCATGCTACAAACAAAAACTAAAAATGAGGTTACAGTTCACGTTAGTTAAATATGCATTGATGACTGGTATTGGACCCCATATTGAGATGGAATATATTTCATAGATTTCATAGACATTAGGGCTGGAAGGGACCTTGGAAGATCATCGAGTCCAGCCCCCTGCCCAAAGGGCAGGAAGTCAGCTGGGGTCATAGGATCCCAGCAAGATAAGCATCCAGTTTCATCTTGAAGGTGTTCAATGAAGGCGCTTGAACCACCTCCGGTGGCAGGCTGTTCCAGACCTTGGGGGCTCGGACAGTAAAGAAATTCTTCCTTATGTCCAGCCTGAAACGATCTTGAAGTAGTTTGTGACCATTCGACCTCGTCATCCCTTGGGGCGCTCTGGTGAACAAACGTTCCCCCAGATGCTGGTGGTCACCCCTGATAAACTTGTAGGTGGCCATCAGATCACCCCTGAGCCTGCGCTTTTCCAGGCTAAAGAGCCCCAGGGCTCTCAGCCTGTCATCGTAGGGTCTGCTTCCCTGACCTCTGATCATGCACGTGGCTCTTCTCTGGACTCTCTCAAGCTTCTCCACATCCTTTTTGAATTGTGGAGCCCAAAACTGGACACAGTACTCCAGCTGCGGCCTCACTAAGGCCGAGTACAGGGGGAGAATGACGTCCCGGGATTTGCTTGAGAAGCATCTATGGATGAAAGC